GAGAAAGTCTGTTAATTCACTAAAAACCCTACTAGTTTCAATATTGCATTTTCTGAATATTGTTTAAAATTAGTGTTTTATTCTTGGGGTCTAATTATCTACGCACTCAAGGAACGGTTTTAGGACAAAAAAATCAATTTCAATCAAATCAATAAGTGTTGGATTGTCAATGGTGTAACAAATTACATAAATATACGACATAAAAGGCGATTAAACGTTAATGATGAATTCGAATGATGCTAGTAAATCGATAATAGAAAGAAATCAGTTGTATGACAATTTAATGTGAAATTACGAATGAGAAATCAACTCATCTCAACTGTCTCAAAATATAATTTTTGCAAACCAACTATGCACGTTCTATCCACTTTTTTTGTTTATATAAAGAATATAAATTTCACTGCCCTTGGAAGAATAAAGAACAAGGAAATTAACTATTATTCAAAAGTATTCAACTATAAGTTTTAAACGTGAAATGTATATAAGGTGCTTGGTAAGCAGATGCTTTTCTTCCAGAGGGTGATAGTGCAAGTAATTTTGGATATATTTCGTTAATATAGCGTGTTCCGAAAAGGCTTAGTTTCCGATATACAGGGTGATAACGTTTTAATTTAAAAATTGTTACTTATTTAATATTGCGGAAGCCGTTTAAAAAATTTTAGTCAGTGACCATAACTAGTGCAGAGCCACTTTTTAAATAAAAACCCGATTGCGCTGGACAATAAATCGACTCGATGACGAACAAATTGAACAGAAACTTGAAAAATAATATTAATTTTTAGAAAAAATCAGTGGCGTAACATTTTTTCTTTAAAATCATCTACAGTCGTGCCGGTGCCGACGCCACTGGCGAAGCTTTTATCACAAAACATGTATTGCTGTTAAGTGCCTAAGTCTGTAAAATTTCATTAAAGTATTCCAAGGGGTTTCCGCAATATTAAAAAATATAATTTTTTAAATTAATACTTTAACACGCTGTAGATCGAGGACTAACAGTTTTCAGAATATGGTCTATTAAAGAAATATATCCAAAATTACGTACACTATCACCTCCTACAAGGAATGCATCTACTTACCAGACACCCTGTATAAATTCTTCCATAGTTAAACTGTATTTTTCTGCATCTTAATATTGTTTTGCTAAGCATATTTCCTAAATTCATTGTTGCTTTGGACGTATGTTCCAACATGTGTAGTGTAACTTGCTTACTAAAAATCGATTCCAAAGTTTCATTAGCGAGTTGGCAAAAGTATTTGAAGCAAAAAAGCATTTTTATGCGCAATTGTTCATTGAAAAATTAAATAAACCATAAAATATATCGCAAATATCAAGCAAGCATAAAACACATGCCAAATTTCATTTTTTTATTCGTTTCGTTATTTAAGGTAAATGCTTCATTTGAAGGCCGCAACAGTTTCTACATCGTTTTTTCTTTTGGTTCTTAATCCAGTATTTTATTTTGCTTTTGTTCATAAGAGATAGCTATGTTAAAAAATTGTCAAAGACGCAATTCAATCGGGTTTTAAACGACTGCAGTGGTACCGAAAGCTGTAGATATGGTAAGAAAAAGTGTCTAAAAATTTCAAAAAGCGGCTATTTGGAAATAATGTTTTATATATATTATGTACTAAATTAAATAACAAAAAATGGCGTCTAAATGTAAAATAACCAGAAAGTCACGCGATACTCCCACCACTTTGTTACCCAAATATCTATTTTGAAATTCGTACTACCAGTGTTATTGCATTTATAAAAAAATATTATATTGATTAACGCAATAAAATCTTATTATCGCAAGTGCAGCCGCATTAACCGAATCTGTCGAAATGAGAAGAATATGCCGTAAATGTGTCTCTCTGTAACACATGAGGTACTTTTGGAAAGTAGCCTAATTACTTATTAATATTTACTTAAATGTGGCACATCGTTGGCAAGATAAAGAGAAAATGAAACATGCATTCAGGTTCGTAYCCAAGTAAATTCAGTKGTGTTCAAAGTTGGGCCCTGAAAGAGAAATCGCGGAAATTAGGACATGTTTTCCATAGGGCGTATAATGGCTCAAAATTGTATTTGCTTAGTTGAAGCAAAAATGGTTTAAAGTTGGCGCCAATRTCTTCTAAATGATAATTCATGCTCAAATGGAGAATAGAAGCGGAAAATTTWATTTTCCGTTCGTTCCGGGAAGGTATTAACAGTTGCACATCAAATTTCACTTTCGTATTAAGCATTATTTGAAATAATCCATATAAAATACATGAACCTTGCTCMAACTGTACCAAGTTATATATTTCRCTATATTTTTTGGTAGAATTCCGCAGCTAGTTTTTATATTGCTGACATTGAGATGAGTTAACGTTATATTCGAGATTTCTGTTTAACATTGAATGAAACAACAGGTATTACGGTAATTTAATGAGGGATAATCGGTATTATCCAATATTTCCTATACCTCCAAAGAGTCTTAAAGGACTCGTTAATCGGCTAATACCGATGATCSCTCATTACCAATATTTCCTTAACCCCCAAAAGAATGTTTARGGACTCTTTAAAATAAGTCTGTATATAATTTTACAAAAGTCTGTTTTTCCATAGATGCAAATTTTCTAAATTTCAGCACTTTATTTCATAGAGCATTCATTTATTTGGCTATAATTTATTCAACCCAATCCCAACAATGAGGCTCGAATGCTTGTTTATTTTTCGCCTATGAAGTATCAAATGAAAGCAACACGTTGACCAACAAGTCTTGTTTTTGCTACCTTTGACCTTAAAGTATAAATATTATATTTGCCCAAGTGAAACAACCACACAATATCCCCTTACATCTCCAGAATAATCTATCACTTCCCAGTTTACCCTCGTATATGAAAAATCAATCGGCGCTCCTACAGCGAAGCTTCGTGTATGTCGGGTGGCCTAGTCGTAGGCGAACAGCGTTTTAGAGCGTATTGGTCATTTAATTGTGTCTTCCTCTCTCACCACCTGTAATTTTGGTTGTCTCTTTGGTGCCGATAAGGAAGTGGAAGAGCATACGTTTTTGTTTTCGTGTCAGCTTTTTTTTATGAATTCATCAATATGGTTTTCTTGTATTGGAAAGAACATTATTAACGGTGCGATTTAGCAAATGTAATCGCAAGTTCACGCAGAAGAATTTTACGTAACTCAAACCAGTATTTTCCTCTCACCAGTTGAGCAACAGTCCGAAGCAAAGATTTGTGTAGGTTATGTGTGTTAGCAGCAGCACAATTTTTCAATATTATTTTTATGATCACCTGCTAATCATAAAAAGAAAGTCGCGGCGTTCCGACTGTTTTACCACACGTGTGTCCAACATTCATATATCAAACAGTTAATCTGATTTCACCTTAGATATTCGTACAAAGAAGAACTAAAAGTGCTCTCAAGTATATGCAATTAAAATTTAATTTTTGTTCACGATTACACAGCAGTTCCACGTCGGGCAGCTATGATTAGCTAGTGTTATTCCAGAAGGTGAGTCAATTCTATTTTTTCCACCTTGTTTATACATCCTTCATACATGTAGGTTTAACTCTGCTTTACTTATCAAATAATCAAATTAACTCGTCTCTGATTGTTTTTACGAAGTATTTGTTTGAATATAACAACGATACGCTATTCAAAATAAGCTCAAGCTTTACATATACATTGAGATGTATATGTTCTTAAGCTACATATGGATGAGCATTAGGTGAAATGACGCTTCTTATTTAAAGTAATTTATATTTAAAGTAGATTCTATGAAGAGTATAAGCCTTAGATCTCGGCTATTTATACTCGTTAGCCCGTTTCTACAAAGGCTGAAACCGCTCCGTTAGTTTTGTAGTGGGAACAAATATTTTTTAATAGCCAACGAAACCAAGCCTATTGCCTAAGGCCCTGATGACCTTTTAAGGTCGAAAGCGCTCGGTTGAACGCTATAATATATTTACCTAAAGCTTTTATTCCATGCGTGCCTGTATACAAAGACACAGACACACACACTAAAATGTTAGAATTTCCATTTCAAGTCATAAAACCAAACAAAACTGAATGTTTTGTATACTACCTATACATACATTGTCACACCTTTCAAAAACTACATATGTACTTAAACTTTCCTGGAAAAACTCTAAAACTTTCACGAAATTTCAAAAAAGCATATGCGTTTAGAGCGCCCATGGTTTATGGACAACTCGAATATAACTCGAAACGGTTTTTGAATTTTTTGGTAATTCTTCTCTTTAGCTTTGAGCTCATGTTGAAGCTGAAACTTCGATTTGCAGGGTTCCATAAAAACTGACTCAAATCGGAATTGCCTCCGAAATCTGTGATTCTAGCAGACTTTCAACTAAAGCGAAATTTACTTTTCGTTTTAGTTTAATTTTAATTTTCGTCACAGGATCAAAAACATCTTCAACATGAGCCCAAGATTTTGAAAATCGATTCAAGAGGAAAAAATGTATCACTGCAAAACAAAAAGTTTATTTTTTTGAGACAACTGCAAATAAACGAGATGGTTTTGCATTGTTGTATTTGCCACCCTCTAGGAACTTTATCTGAACCACATTTTTTTTACAAAAACACGCACTAACCGAAAAATAACGTTTCAACAAATCAAATAGCTCTCAGCGAAATTAATTTATTCAGTACCAAAATTAGTCGAAATACGACCGTGTAACGTCTATTTTGTTGAGCAGTTAAGAACAATAGCTTTTAAAGATAAAAAATTATCGAGACTCAGTGGGAGTTCGTTTTTTGCATAAAAAAAGCATTACACATTTTTTTTGCGTTGTTTGTGAACAGAACAAGATTAAAACCACCCGAAATTTTACGAATTTTCGGATCAGAAGGAACTGGCCATTTTTTCAGTAGCTCGGGCTCGTTGAATTCCTCACTTTTCTTAGATGGTATAAGATTAGATGCACTTTGAACCACAATTTACGAGGAAATAGATCAATGTTCGGTCACAATTTTTTGATCACAACATATTGATTATTATCGTTATTAACTATGAAAGCATGAGCTTTTTTAAATGACAATTTGAACACTCCGTATATAAGTTTCCGGTATATTTTTCGACAACCATGTATGCAGGTACACGGACTTTTCTTAAATATCGCAATTTTCAGCAGAAATTGCGGAAAAGTTGCGTGAAAATCTTCTAAGTAACTCCTCTAATAAGTATCTACTTCTTAACAAACGTTTGTGCAAATTTGACCTTTTTGTTCTACATCTTACCTATTATTTTATTATTAGCAGGTCTATTTCCGAATTGACTCGTCAATCAGTCACATCATCTCCGATTCGGCTTGTACCATTAACGGCTATTCAGGACTTCCTCTCAATTATACCTGTTTCAAAATTAAACCTTTCCGGCCTTTCTGTTAATTAAGATCAAAGTTTCTGGGTATTTTTAAACCAAGAATGTGGAATTTACTTATTTACATAGAAACGAGTGTCGTGGCTTTTTGCGATTCAGAGCTTTCATAGAAAAATTTTGTTTTGTTTTTAGTTCTATGTGATTTACTTGATTTCATGTATATGTTGTGGTTAATATTCAAAATTAATCTTAATATTACCCAGTTAATATCAAGAATAACATGTTTCATTGACATCAACCAGATAACGCCATCAATCGACGCCTTGTTAAAGACCAGACAGTTTTTGTTCCTTAGTCAACTGATATTCGCGTAAGAAGTATAGCGGTAGAAAGTGATACTTTAGTCACAAAATATCTAATAATTCATTCAACATTAACAGGGAAAAAGAGCTGAAATCGGCTTTAACCAGGTAATGTTAATTTTCTTGAATTTCTTACATTAGCATTATATTTGTGTTAAACTCGAGGTTAATCGGTGTTCGTTGAAACATTTAGTTTGCTAAAACTTGTCATCAATGCGTTACTCCGATTTTGCTTGGTTATTTGCTTTACTAACTGCATTTCTTTCGTCAAACATTGATTAGCGTATAGGTCACGCCGATTCAGCTTTTTATTTTGTTACTATCGACTACTAGAAATTTATCTCAATAACAAAAGGCCAATGTAAAAACATCAATTAACCAAGCTCTAAAGTTCGATATTTAATGGGTTTATAATTGTGGTTATCAAAATGTCTATTGCCACATGTTTATGTGAAAGTACGGAATTGATACATGACTAACGGATAAAATGAATGTATTGTATGTAATTGTAGCAATATTTAACAAAAATGCAATTTAATAAAATTGCACCCTACGTTTTAATCGAACGATGTCTCAAAAGGGAAGATTCAACGCCTAAAAATTGAATGAAGATATAATTTTCTAAATGCTTAAACACAAATGCCAATTCAAATGCAAACCTTTTTTTATCGATGGAAACTGGTGGGATATTTGGGCTTTTAGGCCGTCGGGAAAACATTTTATCCTGGCGTTTCGCAACCGTGAGAGATTTGTATCCTCAGAGGTGTGTTGCCGCAAAGTTTACTCTGGATTGATGCTGAAGCTTTGTGAGAAAAACCTAAGGGGATACAAACCACTACTCACCCGTGAGTGCGAAATGTTAGGAAAACATTGTTTCCATTGCGGGATAAGGGCCCGAGAAACTCAGTAGATTCAACCACTAACCGCGAAAGCCTCTTTTGATGTTTATTCCATTGTCGATGCATCTCATGGGTACTTTTTCCGGTCTTCGTGTTTCCAATTAGTAAAAAAATGGCTTTCCTTATCAAGGAGTTATTATTAAACTACTTATTCTTTTGTGGATCTAGACAGTAAAAATTATTGACGTTTATCTATGACTATTCAGTTTTATATTCGAAAAACCTGGACTTGAAGGTCCGAAAAGTCGGAACAATAATAGACTATACAGGTTCTAAATTGGAAAGTAGGAACACCTGATAATAACAATATGCCCAGACGTATAAACTGATCAGTACATGTTTTTTTCCCGTCAAAAAGTCTAACTAAAGCACCCGCATGTGATGACGAAGACTTTTGAAATTGATCCAAAACGTGTTTATTAATAGTTGTTAATTATGTGGGTCTTGATTTAGTATTTACTTCGCACTGTTTTCTAGTCGGAACACCGTCCAAAAGCCATCATTCCCGTGTTGTGGTTTAATGTGCTTCGAACGAAAACAATACAATCTAAATACATTTGTCGAATATTGTTGGTTTTTCTGCCTTTATTTCTTGGTGCGAAGTAAACATATCTTTATGTACATTCGTGTTCACCTAGTGAGTATTTTGAGAATATTTATAAAACTAGTTGTGAGCATTGAAAATGCATGAAACATGTTAAAGTATTGACTATTACTACTTAATTTACAGTTAAATGTGTGCATGCTTTGCTTTGTTACACTGAAATAATATGTAAGACTCGGGCAAATCGAATTTCCAATGCATTGTTTGGGTCACTTTATTACTTTAAAACTATTCTGTGTGCTAATTTTTATTGCGTTTCTGGTTACTACTATCGACTTTTTAATCATAAATCAGTCGCTGTTTTGCAACTAATTTTACAGTTTACTTTTATATGAACGTTTCTATTTTTCCGATTTAGTATAAATAAATATGTACATTACAGATGATACAGAAAATGTGTTAGTTGCGAAAGTAAATGCATCATCAATTTATTGCTTGTTTGCAGATTTCATTTTATGTTCGTTGAAATTAAATGGATAACATTTCACTCTTATCAGCTTATCAGTAACTCGATGTCTTGTAATAGGTACACGTTGTAGAACAAGAGGAAAACGACGTCAGATACATTTAGTAACTTTGTAATTAATTAAAGCGCACGAGCCGGAAATACTGCAAATGTTCTTATTTTAGACCCTGTTTGTCAAAATCATACACAAATGCAAATTAAATCAGCGACAGTAATATTGAAATAAAATTAAAATCAGTACTAAAAAAAATACTGAAAATGTCTATGAAATTAAACACATGTATCTGCAATGTTATGCTAAGAATAGCCTGGTTTATGACTATATTTCAGGTTCAATCAAACGTATTCGTTTTCAAATTAAGCTGTTAAAAGTATTCAGAATTAAAGACTCAATTTTATAGAAGCACATAGTTTTGTCATTCATTTTGCTTGTTTCAGTTGAAACTTTAACTATGAAGATACTCTAGTCGGTATTATTTATATCCCACCTTGAACACATACGTAAACTTTCTCTAAAATTTGTTTTCGGTTATATCAGTTACTAAGTATTCAAGGAAAGTAGGTATAACAAGCATAAGCTAATAATATTTACACCCTGTATGTATGTAACCTACTATGTAAATGATTACGAAGTGTTCCTGATGTGTGTACATCTTTGCTGATGTACTTATCGCTCATATTGTTTACCATCAAAGTAAAAAAGCACAAAGCAAACACATAGTAATAACAGTTCTGATTGTGTTGATGATTGCAAGCTTTGAATCGAACACTGATATTACGAGATAAGAACCCATAATCTTCTTTCCCACAGGCAGGAGTTTGGCACTTGAAAACTCACTAAACTAATAAAAACCGATGGGATTATATGTGTATAATTTGAAACAATCTCCTTTTATGGATAATATGGTTAATCAAGTGTTTACTTAAGTTTAAGATTGTAATATCATTAGAGCAACAGCATCTTTAAGAAATTATTACACTATAATATTAAATTTATATCAGCTGGTGTTAGTCATGGGATAACGATATGAAGTATTTTTGCGTTCCGGAGTTGAATCGATATAAAGTGCACAATTATTTGTATGCAAATTTTAAGAAAACATGCTATTTTCAGCATCTACGAACTTGAGAATTGAGTAGTAATTTCTATTGAAAACCCACAAATCCTCCATCAATGGTCAAGGTTTCCAGTCAAGGCTGTCGGGTAATCAGTCTAATTCAGTCCGATTAAGATGGTTACTTGCAAATCGAACAATTTATTATTTAATACGACTTACTGACGCATCTACTAGACTAGCTCATTTAAATGTGGGTTTCCCGCTTTGGTTGAAGCCAACCATTTTTGCTTAGTGAGTACTAAAAAATACGAGTTGTATTTCAATTTACTCATCCTCGATTTGCACGTGCAACTAGGTGGACATCTGAGTTCATTGAAATGTACATATTTTTCTTGTTGTCCAATATAAACATGTTTTTCAATCTTCGCGTTTAAAAGGAATTGAGAAGAATCAAAATTTGAATAAACAAGTACTCTGAGAAGTGTTTTATATTTGTATTTTTAACATTTAATTGTTTAGTCTGAAGTCAAATGAATATGTAGAGCGAAGTTTTTAATTTTTAGTGCTTTGTTTGTCTTCATTTAAACTTTGCGCTCAGAATAATTCCATTAAATAGTGCACACAACGATGATAATTCAATTCATCATGTCCCCTTCTGTTTCCATCAACAAATTGGCTCGTTACGTCCGTGTTTCGTCGTCGAGCAGCTTATCTAATAACAAACCATAACTTGTTTTTAGTTTAGTTCGTCACTTGAACAGCAGCAACAATAATGATTTTTTGTTATAATAATAATAAAAAATGATTTCGGACGATAGCAGGCTTTAATCATAAAATCTCAGTTCCTCGTATGTGTTTGTGCATGTACAACCGAAACAGTACCTCGTTTGGAATTTCTAAATAAGAAACAACACGTTTATCACCGTTTGTTTCACGATTAATTAGTCGGTTGTGTAGTAATGTTTTTGATGCAAACGCGTCAAGTTGCATGGTTACTGGAAAAATCGTTGGAATCGTCGAGTATTGTGTGGAATAGTTTAAGGAAAATCAGTTAAGACAAGTGCAGATTGCGAAAGCGATTTTAATTTTACGGTAAGGACTCAGCACGCAATCCCTAATATGATTATAAATTTATCAGTATCAAACCGCAAAAGTTCCGCAAATATATTGGCCTTGAATTGAAGTTGTTATGTGAAACCATTTTTTTGTTATTATGCAGTTGAATTATTTGTTCTATGCCTTAAGTAGTTTAATATAAACATCCAGCATTTGTACAAGAAATATATAAATGATTTGTTTGTTACAAGAAGCAAGTTTTTTTACGACATCCTGAAAGTCCGAAAAACTTCTGAGCTTTGTTTTGGTTCAATATTTGCTTCAGCCAACTTAATGAAGCTTTTTACATAACACCAAACATTCCAATTATTTCCTGTACTGATATTGATATTCTGGTCACAAAGGTCACTAACATCTTGATCCATTGCAAAAATATCGGGATTGTTTTTCCGTGTTATACCTACTTCTGCAGCCTTGATGTTGAATTACTATTGATATGAGCTGCGACTGGTTAATTAGCAGATTTTATTTTCCAATCGTTATTCGACATGCTGATATTACAGATGTATAGTTTTGCGTCGTGTTCCTGATATAATAACAATGTTGTTTTTTAATAGTTTTGTTGTTTTGCTTATCAGTAGTCAGTATACTTTACTCGACAAGGTTTTTAGAAACAATAGCCGTTTCATTAGGTATATGAGTTCAATGCGCAATCAACAGTCTTATTTTTTCTTGCTTCAATTATTTGTTCCATTTTTTAAGTGCTAGTTGAGTCATGTGTGCTAAATTACAGTAGCGGATGTTTTGGTTCGGTTCTAATTATATTTCGTCAATTTTAACAAACTGAAGGATTAAGTACAACATAGCTACTAATTTCGAAATGTAAAAGTTTCAATAAAACTAAATTTTTTTGCCAAATTGATATGCATTGTTTTAGATGGTATATCTACAAAATTACTCAGAAAAGTGATTCTTTCTGTAAACTATTTCAGAAGTAGGTATTTTTATGAGAAGATCAATGTTCGATTTTTTCAATAATTCTTAGAAAGTACACCTTCTAGGAAACTTGATTTGTATGTTTCTTGTTTTCTACACATGCTTGCATTTTAATACGTCGGTCTGATAACTAAACTATAAAATTATTATCCTATAGTAACTAATACCTAAGCAAAACAACAATGAATAATTGTTATTATGACTCAATAGGAAATATTAATCTTGTAATTGTTACACATATTAGTTCCATGACTAACACGAACTAAACAGCCATTTTCAAGGAAATTTAAATATTCTTGAAGTGACATTCAATTGAATATTTCATAGCGTATTTTTTTCACTTCATTCCATTATGCTCTTTCTTAAAGTAGTCTTTACCTACTAATTCATTCCGTTTTATGTTTCCAATATTTCCATGGTTTCCATTACTACCTTAGAAAATGAACAAGTTTTCTTCATATAAACCTTATATTTATCGTATTCACTTAGGCTTTGATGTATTCAAAATAACCTTTTTTTCTCGAGAATAAAAAACTCCGCTAATTTCATTCAATAAAATGCTTCAACAATTGCGCCACCGAAAGAAATTATTTCACAAAGATGTACGATATAAAGTAAAAATGCCACCCAGATAGGAACGTTTCAATTTCATTCAAATTTCGAGCTTCGTTTCTTCTTACGCGAGAAAAATGTTATAATTAAAAAACTGACAACTCAGATGTTTATGCAATTCCAACGTAGGTATTTGTGAACATTTGCAATGATATTTTGAAAGTTTTTTCCGCCTCTGTACACGATTCCCTAGCAGGACAACTATCCTACTGGGATCTTCAATTATGTTTAATTTTTAATGCATCTAAGGTTCAACTAAAGCATTGTCGTCAGGTTATTGCCGCTTTTCCAAGACGTGAATAAATAAATGCCAGCTTGCAGTTTCCAACTATTATGTCCAGCAATGGTAGGAATTAACATTTTAAAACAAATTTAAATGTTCTTGAACTGAAATTCAATTGAATATTTCATAGCGTAGTTTTCTTCTTTTGTTCATTCCTTTATGCTCTTTCCTAAATATTCTTTAACTACTAATGGATTCCGTTTTATGTTCCGATATTTTGATCGTTTGCATTATTACACCACAAAAAAAGCAAGTAAATTTGTTTTAAAATGTTAACTCCTACCATGGGCTGGACATAATAGTTGGAAACTGCAAGCTGGCATTCAGGTCTTGGAAAAGCGGCAATAACCTGACGACAATGCTTTAATTGAGCCTTATATGCATTAAAAATTAAAGCTAATTGAAGATATCAGTAGGACAGTTGTTCTGCTAGGGAATCGTGTACAGAGGCGGACATTGTCGACAAAACTTTCAAAATACCATTGCAAATATTCACAAATACCTTAGAATTGCACATCTGAGTTTGTCAGTTGTTTGCTTATAAAAATTTTCGCACGTAAGGAGAAACGAAACTCGAAATGTGAATGAACATGAAACGTTCCTATTTGGTTGCATTTTTACTTTAATATCGTAAATCTCTATAAAATGATTTCTTCCGGTGGTGCAAATGTTGAAGCATTTTATTGAACGAAATTTTGCAAACCGTTTGGATTTCGTATGATTCCATATAATTTTATTTGAGAAGATTTTTTTATTCTCGAGAAAATAATACGATAAAAGTAAGGTTTATATGAAGGAAATCTGAATGTATTGCAGATCAATGTACGCACATTTAACATTTCTGTACACCTTTGTTAAGCTCCCATTTTCATTTCCCATTATCGTTATCTGCCCAATTTGTTTTTGTTCTATGCTTTCTTCGATTTAATTTACATTAAATTGTGTTTGGTTCTGGTTTAAATACCTAACTTACCATTTTTTGATTCAAGCTTATAAAATGTTCTTAGTTTAAGTGTATGTTTTAATTTGAAACGTAACTAGAACTTTCAAATTAGAAACTTTCGTTGAGCAGAGGAATTGGAAAAGTTGCCTTCTTTTACATGCGTATCTTCAAATATTTTCTACTGTTTTCCATGGTGCTCTTCATAATTGATTCCTGAACAAAAATGAGCTTTTACTATAGTCACTGAATCATCTTTTATATGAGTGGATGCTTGCATTCTACGGCCATGGTCAATTAACTTATTAAATTGAGTAAAATATCCGTCTTTGCAGAATGGTCTTGGAGCCCAAGTTTGTCGATTATGGCAGCATTCATCCTACCCCTGACGGCCACACTCATCAGGTTCATCACGGAGTAAGTGGGCCCAGATCTGCACTATTATCGCCCCTGGACGACGAAGACGTTACCGCTAACGCGTCCGCCGGACCCAAAATGACCCAAGGTGAGTTTAAATCATTGTTAGAATTCGTTTTTGCCTAAGGTTAAGTTAAAGCTTGTGTGCAAATCAAATAAACTAATTGCTATTTAATTGAGATTTTCAAATTCGCCATCTATTCATGGGAATGAAGTGGATTTTTGCATTCAAAAGGTCATTGAAAATACTACTAATGATTACTTCCAAACAGTTATGGAATGACTGTAATAATTTTTATATTGTCTCCCTTCTGATTTCATGGTATACCTAATTAATAATGCTCGAATTTCACTTTTTTATTCTATAGATAATGTAATTGTATAGTAACAATAATTATCTATGAGTTTGACAGGAAATTGTTTTCATGAACCTCTGGAACAATTATGGAAATACCTCATTTCCTAATAACTGCGATGTCTATCGGCATTCATCATGGAAACTGTTCGATAATATCATTATTTTTATTTTTATTACCAGCAAATTGAGCTCACATTTTCTATTCAATAACCGTTTTTGTACTGCTTCGAATGATTGCTATATTGTGCAATTTCACTAATGGCTATCAAATAGTGTGTTTCGAGGTACGTTTTGAATAAAATAAAAAAAATTCGGTTTTGTAGGTAAGATACTTTTTATATTCGATTGAGTACCTATGTCTAATAGATCCATTGAATCAAAGAGTGGGCAAGATTCTCATGATTTCCAGGCTTTAAGTAGACTAAACATTGCGATATAAGTTTATTAAATTGCGAAATTTAAAGAATTCTGATCATGCAAAGTTTATTGAATAACTACATTATCAAGCATCGCTTAATTAAATCAGAATACCTATACTTATTTATGGAAACTTAACAGTTTTGGATGTTTGACACGTTTCTAAACATGCATTTTCAATATATGTATACTTTTGTTATCAAAGAAATGAAGCTGGTTACTGGAAGTCTTTTCTATTATAGCGAGTGAGAATTAATCTTAAGTTTTGCTACTCAATAATATTCTAATTAATTTAAAATTAATTCTTTAATTAATATTTCAAAATTCGGAATTCTGTCATACCAACTGAAAAAAGGAGATTATGTTATGTGTTATTTCTTGACTAATATAATGATGATGCATTTTTAAGCGGATTTGTGTGCTTGGTATCTGCTCAATTGTGGGACAAATGCATCCTTGAAGAAGCAACATGAAAATCTTCAATAATGGTAATTAGTTATGTAACACAACTGTAATCTGTTTATTTATCTAGGGCCATTAAACGCAAAAATAGCCCTTAGCGTTTACCACGTTGCTGTCGTTGCATCCTTACTTTAAAAAATACCCGTTTTCACAAATACTCATAATTGTCTGTGCCTTTCCTAGTTTAACTTTAGAATCAATTTCAATTAAAATACTAAATTTCCCTTACATTATACTTTTTAAGTAGTACTGCAAACGCACGAAATGCCCATATTATTATTATTATTGTTCATTATTCGGTTGTTAGCACTCGGTTTCAATCACTATTGTGCCATCAGTGAAACATGTACTTGGTGTTGCCAGTTGGTTCAGAGTTTTTATATAGTTATTTGCATTATTTTGCTGCTATTTTGTTTCTGATCAGACTATCATGTGGACTTATAGCAGGTATTTTATGTGATGATTGTGTATGACTGTATACGTTAAATGTATTTTAAAGCCAATAAATTTCATTAATTTTGTTTGATAATTTATTAAAGGCATTTTAGCATTATCTCCAACCCATTATTGTTTTAGCCACTCCAAATACTTTTATCTTTGACCGGTATAAAATCGGATTAGTTAAAGGTTTTATTTTTATCGAAAGATTTGAACCAACCGCATTAAGGGTATCTCTCATGTTGTGTTCATTTATAATAAGCCACCTTTGTACAACGTTACTTGGGTGATAATGTGGAGTGAAGTAGTAATTTAGAATGGATTGGTAGCAATTTTGAGACAAAATCTGAGACAATATGTTTCAAATCATAGTGTGTGGCTTTTTTCAAAAATCCTGTGCCGAAGGTAATTGATTGGATTTCTTTAGAAAATATTTTGCTTGCTTTGCTGCTATTAATGGAATGCATAATATTTTAATAAATACAGAACAGGAATAGATGGTTTGCATGGCAACGTGACATAAGCAAGATAACTGCGATAATTGTTTGCATTTTAACTCAGTCAGGTATTATTATATCATAAACCGTTTACAGTATCATATATCAAGTATCTCTTCTTTATTTATCTGCTAATTTTATGCTGAAATTGCGCTTACCTTTTAGTGAATTTATTGTGAAAATATATGTTGATGCAGTTATGTTTTTTAGTTACAACTGGTAGTTGTCTTGAATAGAAACTTGCTCAAGATAAAGAGTAAGTGATTTTTCTAGAGATTAGTCTATAAACGCACCAACAGCAGCCTATGATTTTCTTTCATTTTCAATAATTTAGTAATCATCTTAACAGTATAGATACTTTTGGGTAACAGATTGTAAACAAGCCACTTCACATTTTTTATGGCACAGTTGCTCAATTCAGACCTCTATCTATCGCCGTATCTCATTAATCAATTTCAAATTTGGGTTTGCAGTTCTTTTTTTTGCTTAAAAATGCGTTGTAGATTTTAATTTCTTAATGACAGAAGAACTTTTATTGCATATACAGGGTGATCTAAAATTAGAATGCCTAATTTTGATTACTTTTACTGCATATCCTAGTACGAAAAATAAGAACAAAATTATGTTTTTGTTGTTTCCGCTACAGCTCCTAGCACCTATGAGATATTTATCGCAAATATGCAATTATAGCCAATTTATTAGGATTTTACAGAATGAATTCAATTCAATGGTCAATTTAAAAAAATGTTTTTTTTGCGGTGAGCGCCACTTTGACCGTCACACTAAATTTAACTTTTTCAGATTTTGCAATTTGAGCTGTTTTCGTATCTGTCATCGTTTTTGAGTTACTTAATGATGAACTAAGATTGAATACCATTGTCAATGCACGTAAAAGAAAACTTATAAATTAAACAATATTACAAGAAATCGCAGCATCAAAACTACCGCTACCGTAGAAGAATCCTACTTAAAAATACAAGCACCCTGTATCTCGTAAACGAAATATATGCAAAGCTACATTTAGATGCAATTTATCATCTTGCTTTTGATCGTCTAGTAAATATGCAGTTAATTTTACCTGATACAACCTACCTAATAAAAAAGCACATGGATCATTGGGAGATTAGATTAGAAAAGCTACTTATAATCGCTCAAATAGAAACTTTGTCAATATTTCTGTTCATTCGGTAGTAATGCAATGGTTCAACTGGCATGTGCCACAAAAGGTGTGCACATTTCCTTCTTTGAACTGTTGTAAGTTGTCCTGTCCATGTTGTAAGTTGCTGATTATGTACCTCTTGGCGTTAACAAAAGCGTAAAATCGGCACATAGAAGTGAAAAACACCGCTTAATCTAGGAATTAGTTAATTTGCCCAAAACGTAATTAGTCGAACATTAATTATACAAAGTTGCGGAATATTTGAGATTGTTGAAAGTACACAAGAAATAAGCTGATTGTACTTTTGTATGCTTCTTTTGATGTTACTGACGATATTTACTTATACATAATTTTGATTGTCAAAGTTGAAAATTAAGTCTTGTTTGTGGTGAAACTTTTGATTAAAACTAGATTCTACTTGTTGCAGGAGATTTGTATCAACGGCAACCATTATTGCCCAATCCAAAGAACGGAGATCATTGGGCGCAACATACACATGGAACGACCGGCTCCGAGTACTATGTAGATGAGGAGGACGAAATTATGGACAAGGGTTCCAATCGCAATGGCGACATCATAATCGACATTCCAGCTTCCAGGGAAGAGCCCAGATTCCCGCAGGAACGGTGGAAAACCCTTTTAGGTAAGCCTCAGATGTTCTTTAGCTTTTCCCGGTATTTGAAAAGCGTGCACGATATTGCAACAATTAAACCAATAATTCATACGTGTCCTACTCTAGAACATCCTGTCGCACCGTTACTACGAACGTAGTTATTATTGGTTGTATATGAGCGACTGATCAGTTATTAAGGGCCTTTTTTCGTACTGCTATAATTATTATGTACTTCGCTTCATGTATATTATGGTGCTTCTATATTGCATCTACTGAAATGTTTGCCATGCCATTATTGGTAAATCAGTTATTCGTTTCTCAACTTGTGAAAAGGAAATTTTGCGAGAAAACGAGTCATTATACTAATAGCTTTTAAAGGACAAGAACTAACTGTGTTCTATCCCAAGAAACGTTATAAGAGGAGAAATTCAAGAAAGTCCTCGAATTATTCGCACGTTAATAGGGTGTTTTCCCCTTTTTTTTAATGTTGATATATAGAAAGTAGTTATGGCAAACATTACACTGATATAATTTTTTTGCCAAAAAAGTCTCCATAATAATTTTAAAGCGAATTTAAATTGAAATAAGATATT